TCGTCTCATGGAGAATAGGCCTTGCCATGGACATCCACATGAGTAATCAGAATGGTTCTGTTTGGTAATCAGGTGCAGCTGTGATTTGTTTCCCTGGTGTGTGGGCCCCAAACAGAGTGTTTTTAGTCAGCGAGTCTATAGTTTTCCACATGGCAGACCAAACTCTGAGGCCATTGGCTGCAGCTCAAGATTCAGTTGAGTTTCAGCCTAGCTGAACCATCCCTGAACCAGGCCAAAGCATTAGGGGAACCTGAGTGAATCAAGGTCCCTCCAAGCCAGCAGCTTCGGATTAGGCCATGAAGTGGGGACAAAGTTTTCCTGAGAGGTATGACTTCCACTTTTTCATGTAAAGCTGAGATGCCACTGAGCCACTCTAACAAGTGTGGCTTTTGGGGCTGTCATACCTGTTGGTGATTGAATCTGACTTCTCAAACTGAGAACATCAAGCCAGACAGTCACAAGGCCTCAATGGGTCAATCATTTAGTTTCTAGTCAAGTAGGATGGCAATAGCTGATTTCAATATAAATATGCCTGGCATCTGGGTGAGAAGGGCCACAAACCCAAAACCACAAGGATGCTTCCAGTTGGAGGAGAGAGGTTCCAAATAGCCAAATCACCATTCACAGAGACTTCTATTATCTGCATTACTGAAAGGGTCTGATATGATGTTGGGCCTCCTTTTTTGTGGTAAAGAGCTGAATAGACAGGAGTTTTTCCTTGGCTACTGGAGAGACTGAACATTGTACTTTTTCCCACATAGGCGAGTCCCCAGAACCTACTGATAAACAGGCTTCAGAATTCAGGCCCCAGAATTTTTTTCAGATCTATCAGCTAGCCCCTGAATACAAATGTGTGTGATAATACTCACCATAATCAGGACCATTGAAACAGGATTTTAAAAAATTGATATATAATTCACATACAACCTACAGGATCTCATCTATATAGTGAAAGCTTGGACATAGAAGGTAGAGATGCTCACACTAAATCCTGACCCATTGGTCATAAGAGTTTATCACACTAGCACTTCTCTGCCTGCAATTTTCCCTTATTGGGATAATCCCCTATGGCACTTAGGGATGGAAAAGTAAAACATGTAACAGGTCAATTTCTAGTTTATATAGAAGCAAAAACAATATTATAAAAGACCCTGCCCAAGAGATAACTTTAGCTCTGTCCTCTACTATGAACCATGCCCAAATCCATCAGTTGAATCAATGTGCCAAATACCCCATGAGTCTGGGTAACACTAAGTAAGTTAGGTTCCTCTAAGGTACGGTGAAACATAAGATATCTCTTATCCTCCCAGCCTGTTAGCTATACAAAGATTTTTGAAAATACAGTCTTGGAGAAAAAAAAATCTGTAATAAGACATGCAGAAATGTGGGAGACCCATGAAGAATTGTCTCCCAACATTGAGCACCGACTACATACTACTCATAATGATCCTCTGAAACATTGATGAGTAAGACATTTTCTTAGTCCTTGAGTACTCAACGTATCACCTTATAAAATGAATTATTTTAGCAGATGTCTTCATGAACCTAGGTCTAAATCTCCTTTTGTTGAAAATGTTGCCACTTTGTCATGAAATGTAAATAACAACATAATAAATATCTAAAATAATAGGTGTATTAAGTCTGATGTGGCATAGTGATCTACATTGGCACTTCTTTTTGCACTCTAAGTTATAAAATAAATTTTAGTTGTTGACTTAATTTAACAGTGTTTAATTTTCTCTTTTACATATGCTCTTTAGAAGCCAACATATAAAGAACAAATAAAGTTGTCTTTAAATTTAAACAACCAATCCTCTTATGAGTACCTAAACACAGAGAAGAAGAGGAAAGCTAATATATCATAAATACAAAAACAAAAACCACAACAAATTTGGATTTGTTTTGTTGTTGTTGTTGTGTGTGTTTGTTTTGTTTATTTGTCTAAGACCAAAGTCACATTCAATAAGAGTGCAGGGATAATGTTCGAGGAGGATATAACATGCATTATATGAGGCAACTTTTAGCTCTGGAGTTCATATTTGGATCCCTATCTCAAATTTACTCTAGGGAGTACTACATATTATAGTACATTGAGAGACAATAAACAAACAAACAAAACCCAAAGTATAGGCAAAGGAAAAGGCAAAAGAAAAGTGACATATTTGGTTTAGTGAAAAGAGGCACCTATGGAATATATAACAGAAATCTCCAATAATATAAGCTTTTCCATTGATGATGAAGAGGGTTTAGAAAATGAGATTTAGGATTCAGAATTAGCTAAGTTTCCAAACTAAGGATTTTGAGATGTAACAGAAGTTATCATGAAATATTAGAAATAATTTTTGGGGGGATAGCAAGAGTCAACTTGGACAGAAGAAGAGGGAAGTGTTGGGGCAGGGTGGCGGGTCATGAAGGGAGTAGGGAAAAAATCAAATCATGGCTTTTAGAATTTCTAGGACTTGTTTAACTCTAACTGACCTGATACTTAGGACAAGTTTGATCTTAGTGACTGCACTGGATTGCATGAAAAAAATTGTATATTAATATACAAATAAACATGTGTATTACTTGCAGCTCCTCTTTCTGATAGCCTTATAGTCTAGTCTCTCAAAGTTGGATTATATAATAATGATTCCTTCTCTGATCAAAAGCCACATAGTATACGCATATCTGATCAATGCTCAATTGTGAAAATAGAGTTACAAATTTATCTAAATTCAAGTTCATTTTCAATATATAAATTTGATAATAGTATTTTAGTAACCAGAAACCTTTCCAGATCCTCAGTTGTGAGCTATAAAATATCTGAACAGAAGGTTTTCTTAAGCCATAACTGGCATTTGTATAAATATCCAGTGGTGATCATGATCTATTGATATACATTTTTAAAACAGTAGTATTTATAATATTGGCCAATTCCTCCCTGACATTTTGAGATATTTTCCCCTCAACATTCTAGGTACTGCCAAATAGACTTAATATTAATGTTTGAACTCATATAAATCATTAGTCTTGGTAACATTATTTGGTTATGATTACATAATTACTAAAAATTTCTTTAACATTTTATATTAATGCTTTCATCTTCTAGAAAAATTTTAACGAATTTCCTAGCCTTTAATGTCTGGCTCCCAAAAGAGGAAAAGGGCGAAAAATGAAGATGCAGGGGGGACACCAGCCCTGGTAATCCCCTGGAAATCATTTAGCTGGCAGGGCAGGGCTTGCAACAATAGAGCAGGTGCAACAACAAAAGCTCTTTGCACCTCTGTGGTCAGAAGCAATAATCAGCCATTAGAGAACAGATCCCCAATATTTGGAGGACAAAGTCCTCATTGTCTACCCTGACTCCTACATGCTGTGTGCAAGCTGCTTCAGAAACACATGAGCAGCTGCCTGCCTCAGGGTTGGGGATGGAAGATAGATAGCTGCTACTGTGGTGAGGGCTGAAATTGACCGAAATTAACTTCAATTTACCATCCAATTTTCCCCTGGAAGTCACAAGCCTTCCAAAGACTCCAGAATCCCAACATAGTTACATCAATTGGGAGACAGGTTCCTGGTGCTTCCTACTCCGCCATCTTCCCAGAATCCTCTGGAACATTGCCTTTTATAATATTGTCTCTACATCTTCACATCTTCTCTGTTCTCACCAGACTAAGAACACTAATTTGATCGTAGCTGATATGCTGTAGGTCTTGATCTTTCCTGAGCTATATCTGGATTTGCCTTTATTTGTCATACAAAAGAAATAATTTAAAAATCTGAGCCCAGAAACCTGTTTGCACCTTTGCATCAAATAGCATTCTTAAACCAGATCTAACTAGGATCAAACTGTGATATATATGTCAGTGATCTCTGCCTTGATGGAATTGGACAACGTATCTGTTTAACACTCATCAAAGGTGTCCTATTTGCATAGATATTCAAATAATATAAATTTGATTAGGCTTCCTAAGACTAAATGCTATGTAAGTGAAAGTCTTTCATTGCAATGCTAGCCTGTAGTTAGGATATCTTAGTGTTGCCTTCCCAATGGTCTTTCAAGCAATGGTCAAGAATTTTGCAAAAGTATAAATTGAAAATTGCACTCCCATCTCCCCAGAACATAATGATGCTAGTTTTTAAATCATAAATATGTTTAATCATTTTAGAACCTTTAAGAAACAAGTTTATTGGTATTCTGATCATCTTTCTTTTAAATAAAGATTCTAAAAACATTGTAGAGCCACGGAAGTTTATTCTAAATCAGATTAGATCATCCAAGCAAATAAAATTTGGGTAATTATGTCCGAAGTTATACAAACTAGCATAACTAGTATAGTCTCATTATAGAAAGATAAATAAATTTGTAAATTACATAAATGAAATAAAGATATTCTAAGGTAAAGAGTAAAGGGATTTAAAATGGGAGCTTTCAAAATTTAAATTTATCTTTTTTACTTCAAGCACTTAAATGAGAGAATACAATATTAAGAACTGTGTTTCTTATATTGCCATAAAAATATTTTTCTATCCAAAAAATTTGGGAAATTTTGGAAAAATATTAAATAAAAGCTATCTTATAGTGTTTATAGAAAAATGGATACTAATGTGTTAAACTACTATACATTTTCAATAGTGAGGTTTAATGGAAGATATTATAATTTATATTATAAATAACTAATAGATTATTTCCCTCCGTTACATCTAGCATTGTCTCAGAGTCATAGTTATCAAACGGTTAAATACACTGAGCAGTCTGCACCTCTCACTGTTAGAGCACTTGAGTACTCGAGTTCTCACTTTATTCCACTGGGGATAAAAAAAAATCTTATCCCATTTTTTAGAATGATTGCATTAAGCAGATGCATAACATCTCACAATAACAAGTAGCAAATTTTCATGTAAATAAAAATTCTGATATGTTTTCTTAACTTAAGTAGTATATAAAGACAACTTAGAAATTCTTTGTAAAAGTTATGCAAGCTAAGCGATGTACATTCATGCTATTATTCGTGCAGGCTGCCTTAGAGAAAGAATGGCGAGCTTTAGATCCCGCCTGCTTCCCTTCACAAACACAGCTTCTACCAAACCAGCTGCACTGGCCAAAGGTAACATGTCATGGAAACCTCTTAGTGCTCGATCTGTGCTCATTTCTTAGGGTTGTGCTGTTTCGCAGTGATTAATAATACAATTTATTGACTTGAAAAACACAATTACTTTTAGAAGCCTCTGACTTCCTCCTCATCCCCAGATGTAATTATTCATGTAGCCTTTCTTTCATTTGCTCCTAATTTTTTTCTTTATTTTGGATTTCTTTCAACACTTTATTTCACAGTAGCAAAAAAAAAAATGATGCAGTTCAGCTGCATATTTGGCAGTAGACTAAAATCACTAGTTGAAAGCACTTTTAAAATATAAAAATATGCATTAACAGGGCAACAGCTGAAGATTCTCAGTCAGAGGTCAATGTACTGCAATATCTGTTATTTATTTGATAATCTTTGAAGTTTTTGTTTCCTGAGATTTTTAAAGATCTTTGCAATTAATCATTTTGTATATGCAAGCTATACCAAAAAGAGTATTCCTCATCACTACAACAAAGAATACTTATATCTTTATTACATAAATTTCATTTTATTATAATGATCAATTTTTATACATTTTCCTTAGGAGGCTACTTGCTCTCTGCTACATGTAAAATAATACAATATGAATGCCAGAATTTTTCAATTTATTTTATATTTATGTAATTTTTTTCCTGATAAGTTTTCTGGAACCTTAAACAATGATGATACTTCACTTAATTTACCAAGTCGTCCAGCTCAAGCATGGCTATGTAATGAGAAAGAAAATTTGTTTTCATCGGAACACACACAGTTCAATGGCAGGTAAGCCAAATCACTTCTTGGATTGACCCACGAATGACATACTTAAGAATATTACATTCTTTGCAAAAGTAGGAAAATAATGAAAATAGGAGCAACTTTACTTGTTTAGAAGATGGAGCAACATTTAGTGTTAACATACAGTTATTTTATAGAGTTTTCAAGGTAATAAAAATATGTAAGGTAGTAGATTCATTCAAGAAACTACAAAACTTGTGTCAGTAAAATAATGTAATTGTTGTAAACAAGTAAACTTTTAAATACTACTATATAGGTTGAGATAAAGATTAGAATAAAAATTCTGGTGCTGCATTTCTTTCCACAAAACGATTGAAATATGCTTCAAGTAATTGCAATGTAAACATTTTAAATTAATGGCAGACATTTATTGCTTTTCAAGATAAAGCTTTTCTGTAACTTAAATGGATTTTATTTTCAAGTTTGAGGCAACATAAATAGCTTGTAGTTTAAAAAAGTGCTGATATACTTGTGTTGATTCAGTTGTGTGTGTTTTTTCTATTGCCAGATCAGAAAGTAGCACTTTATCCCAGGCACCTGAATCAAAGACCAGCAGAAAGAGTTTGCTAAAATCTGAAATAGAGGAAAAAATTTCAGAAGAATGGTATGTGGTCTACTTTACACTAAAATATTAAAGATTTATAAAATTGAAAGACTCTTAAATGTCCAAGGCAGATATTTTTCAAGATTTCAAAAATACCTTTATTAGTTTTGAAGAAACTATGTATCTGTTAAATTTCACATTCTTCAATGGAAATTCAAATTTGCTTTAAGACAATATAATTCAGATATGTATGTTTATATGTATATGTTTATATAAATATTGCCTGGATATTTGTTTTGTCTTTATTAATTTTAATCTCTTAACAGGGGCTTTAAGGATATTTCTACTGCTCAGCAAATGCTGAAGAGAGCACAGAAAATGAAATCGAAGAAATTAAGGAAAAAATTAGGTGGGTATTCAATGCTCTTTGAATAATAACTGTGTGTTTGACGTGGAATATACATCCTTTTAAAATATTTTTACCAAATTGTATTTAATAAGAACAGAAATGAAATGCAAATATGAGTGTTTCTGAGGTAATAATTCCAATAATAAAATTGTTATTACAGTAAATTATTTGTTATGCTCTTAAATGTTATTTTTACTTTTTTCTACTTCTTATCTACTTTGCTATTGATTCTTTTATCTATTGTGCACTAAAAAAATTATTCTGTAATTTATTACTGAGCAGGTTTATTTTGGCAGAAGTTGATTTTAAAGAGCATCTGCTTCACGTGCTTATTCCTTTGTGTGTTTTTAAATTGCATGTTTAGTCAATATACTATTTATGTAAATTCATCAGGCCCATGAACTGTTCACATTAGCTATGAACTTGATAATTTGGAAAAGAAGCACAATGATATGTATCTTTCATAATTATGTAGAACTTGGGAAAATAAAATCCACATTAGTTATAGAAAAGCATCTTTTCTTCAATCCCACTTATCAGGCTATTTAAATCATTTGTTGTTTTTGGATAACTTTAATCATGTTAGCATAATTATTTAATATGTGGAATAGTTAATAGGTGGCAGGGAGAGAAATAGCAGGTTATTATGACTTTATATCTATAACTTGCAAATTGCATATATATTTGCATTTACTCATAAGTTTATAAATATTTACTTATGAAATCATAGACTTAAGCATACAAAGAAGCATTCAAAAGGTTAATTTTATCTTTATTATTTTTCTATGTATTACTATTTATTATAAGTTCAATAGTATAATTCTAAGTAGCATATATAATATATATTTAATGAAAAGAAAAACAAATAAAAATAGTCAAAATACTGTTAGTTTTCAAGGAATAACTGATATGTATTGGCATAGTACTTACTAGCCATTGATAATGTACTGGTAATTCATTTTTATATTCACAAATGTTCAACTTTCCTTTTCTGATGTTATATTAGTGATATCTTAATTTTTTATTTTTGAGATAACTAGTATTTTTATTATGTACTAAAAGTTTGTCAGTTTTAAAATATTAAAATTAATTTCAAGCATATCTTTAGTACTATAACATTAGCTATTTTGATAATAATAAAAGTTTCTGAAACTCCTGTGGCAAGTTCAAATATCAGAAGTGGCTTAAGAACTGATTCAACCAATGTTAAACAATTACTAATTTATGCTCAATATTTATTTTAAAAAGTATTTGCATGGTTTCTGATATTGAAGCTAAGGAAAAGTTTATTCTGTTAGACTCAGTCTCTGGAAATATATATAGATTTTTCTTACTAATTCTTATAACTGAGCAATTGTTTTTTAGGTTGAGCATAGTAAATAATATGTTTTAGCAAAAGTTTGAATAAAGAATATATGCTTATACATCAAAGTAATTGCTTTAATGGCCAAAGATTAGACATAATTATTATCAGGCAAAAATTAAACCTCTTTTTATCTGTCACAAGGGGGCATGGTAGGGTAACAAACAAAAAAGTACAATTAGACATCCAAGTTAACAACTACATCTTAAATTTAACATTTTAATAGTGGTCATTAAGCATGGCCTGTTAGGTAAAAATCCAAAATGGCAGTTGTGTAATTTTTATTGGGATTTTTACTCTAATTACATGACTATAAAACCAATTGCATTCTTATTACTGTGTGAGGTTCTGTATCTATCTGTTAAGCTTTTGTTTTACCAAAATACTATTAGATTGATGAAATAAAAGGCTTTTTAAAAATTGAGTTCTAAAATGTAAAACTTAACGATAACCATAAATTCTCCTCCTTCTGTTTCTCTACTCCCCCCTCACAACAGATACACATCATAGTAATATTCAAAGTAAGATTAACAGAGAAAAAGAGTATCAGTGGGCCCTTCTCCATTATGATGCTTTAAAATTCTACCAGATTGATGATATAGCACTTATGTCATTTTGTATCTGTGAGCAAATTATTTAACACTGTTATTGGGTCTTCTTCTTTATAGACTAAAGCATTTTCTAGTACTTTTTCAGTTTTAAAATTTAATTAGTCTGTGATATGCTATTTATTTATTTGACTATGACAAAAATAATGACCATAATTTAAAAATTCTACTCACTAAGAACTTAAAATAATATTTGAAATATTTAAATTCTGATGGAACTTAAAAACTTACTAATACTTTTCAAATATAAATGGAGATATATCTTACATGGACAACTTGAAATTTTCAAGCCACCAGAGGGCAACATTTTCCTTAAAACTACTGGATACTAACCAGCTCTGTGGGGGTAGGGAGGGTGGCAGGTGGGGCTTCAGAGAATAGGAACCTTTAATTAAATGGAACCAGTTACATCCTAAATCTAACACAGCCACAGTTTTCAAGGAGGTGAAGCATAAATGCATGGAGTATGGAAGCTTTGATTCAACTTTCTGCTATGAAAAACCTTAGAGCTAGTTGCTCTTAGCAAGCACTTAATAATATTTTCTTTTTATATCTTTTACATATATTTATTAGCCAAGGGATATATGAGACAATAATATATGATTTATGATGAGAGTGAGAATAGGGCAAAAGGCATGGGGTCAATTATTTAAAGAAAGTTGCAGGTAGAGTAATAATCCCACTGAGAACACTGATTAATGAAGAAGCAAGGGGCTGAGGAAACACACAGTGTGGGCAGCCATCAGGGGAGACTCAGTATTGATGACTTCTATTGTGATAAATGAGCCCATTTGCTTTAAAGAGTAGAAGCAGGAGGAGGAGGGGCAGGGCCAGGGAAATTGACGGGAAGCCACAGGAGAAAATACAAAATTGTGAGAAGTTACCATGATTGTTTTTACTCAATTTGGGTTTGGGTTCTGATTATTGTTATTCCTAGTAAGTTGTTGATATTTCCCTCATGATGGACATAAGCACAAACCAGTTATGACTAGTCTTGTTTTTTGTGGGGTTTTATATGTTTGTGTTTTTGTTTTTACTGTTGCCTTATGCACAGAATTTCAGCATGTGGTGATCTGCCCTGGAAACTAACAGATACCTAGGGAACTTTAGAGTTTGGTACTGTAGTCAAACACATTATGTGCAAGGTGAGAGTTGCTGGTTTATTGAATACACTAGTGGCCCGGTGCATGAAATTCATGCATGGGGGATGTCCCACAGCCCTGCCTGCACCCTCTCCAATCTGAGATACCCCAGGGGATGTCTGACTGCCGGTTTAGGCCCAATCCTCCAGAGATCAGGCCTAAACCGGCAGTAGGACATCCTGGGGGATCGGGCTTAAACCGGCAGTCGGACATCCTGGGGGATTGGGCTTAAACCTTGCAATCCGGGACTGCTGGCTCCTAACTGCCTGCTGGCCTGATAGCCTCCCCCCCTGCCAGCCTGATCACCCCCAATTGCCCTCCCTGCCGGCCTGCTTGCCCCCAACTTCCCTCCCCCCACCCCCGCCAGCCTCTGCCCGAGCCCCACCACCATGGCTTTGTCCAGAAGGATATCTGGAAGGTCTCCTGTAAGGTCTCCCAGTCTAATTAGCATATTACCCTTTTCTTAGTATAGATGAGGGTCAATAACCTAAAGGTAGTGAGTATAATTGGTAGCAAGAATGAGATGAGCCAAGTGGGGAAAGAGAGTGAGTGACTGGCTTTGACATGGACCACTCCTCAGAGAGTCCTGGGCATAGGGATTTTGGTGAAGAACAGATGGTAAGAAGCTTAAGGGCTATGGACATAAAGCTGAAGACATAATGTTTTCCAACATTTATCATGCTTATGCATTTTGAATTTTATAATTAGAGAAAAGAAAGAGCAGGCTGGAGCAAACAAAGTTAATCTATAAGAATAAAAGGTTAATATGCTAATTAGACCAATGTCATTGCGGACATCCTTCTGGATGAAGCCGGGGGCCAGAAGCCCGGGTCCCAGGTGCCAGAGGGAAGCCGTTGCCGGGAGCCAGGAGAAGGAGGCCTACTCTTGCACGAATTTCATGCATCGGGCCTCTAGTTTAGTTATAAATGTAGAGCCACAAGTAGGGATAAGTATCATTTTGCATCTATTTGTAACACCTAGTACAGTATTAAGTACATGCTAAGCATTCCAATAGTTAGTGATTTTATTTCAATAAAGAAAATAACTTGAGACTGTGTTGGTAACATTTAGTTATAGCCAAGAATTAAGCCTGCTAGAAAATAAGACAGGCTAATTTTTTAAATATGAATTAAGCAGTTCATAGGCTATAGCAAAGAGATTAGGTTGTAAAATGATAAGGCAACTAATAAATGTTAAGGGGGAAGCATGAAAAGGGAATAGTATAGACAAAACTGTGGTAAAACGAAGTTTATTAATGATATGTTTTGATTGCCTCAGTGATTTCCAACAAATTTATAAGAATTTTATCAAATCTTACTTTCTTATATCCACAAAATGATGATAAAACTCATTTAAATAGTAATGTCCTTGATGCCAAGACTCTATTTGTTCCACATTGAATACCCAGAACCTAATACCCTGCCTGGTATATGGTAGATGTTCAATAAATAACTGTTAATAAAATCAGAAATAAGTTAGATAAAAGTCACTAAATACATTTGACTTTGATTATGTGTATGATTGTGTGTGTAGGGTACTACAGTCATTTAAGTGCATATTTATATTTGGGAAGGCAAATTTAAGTTAGTAAATATTACTCCTTATAAGATGATGAAATATAGTTAGTCTTTCAATCTTAACATAAAACTTATTTTATAACATTATTGTTCTTGGCACATAAAGAAAATTGATAATAACCAGATTTTCAGTATGAAGTTAGTGAGGATAAATCAATAAGCTAAGGTCAGGATTATAGAAACTAAAATGGGATTCCACAGGGAAGGAAATGATTTTTAGTATATTCTAATGTCTAAATAAAATTATGATGTTTAAATGAGACAATGAAGATAAAGTTTCAAGTACAGTGCCACATGCATACTAGAAACTCAGTTTACTTATGGGTTTCTTTAAATATTTTATTAAGATGTATTAAAACCTATTTCCCAGATACTGGGCAAGTCATACTGGGAGCTATAAAGACTTAAAAAAAAAGGACAGAAATGCTATTGATGATATCAGAGGAATCAATTTAAATGTATAAACCTGACTTGCAATGCAAGAAAAGATGTCAAAGCTGTACTCTTTGCAATATCCTTATGTCTAAGCTTTTTTTACTTGATTATGTAGTTTTTGAGGGTAAGAATAGTGTCTTGTTCACAGTGGTATTTCCAGGGACTATCAAAATTAAGTGATATTTTCCCCCGCCCAGAATTACTATGTTTTTCTTTATTATTATCCCTTTGAAATTTGAATTAATTTAAGTTTTAAATCAATTTAAGATGGTAAAATAAGAATGTTTTGAAATAAAATACTAAAAATTTAGCACTCTTTATGTGCTTTTGATGAATAAAATTATCTTACTGAGTAAATAGAGCTAGACAACTGTTAAATATTTTGTGTATATTCGTTTATTTAATCTTGATAATAGTGTGAGGAAAGTGTTATTGTTATCCATGTCTTACATATTAAGAAATCAAGTCACAGAAAAATTGTTATTTGCCCAATAGGGATTGCAAAGTACTTATAAAAGATCAATAGGTTTTATTCTATGTGCTATGTTGAATAAAATGAAATCAATTATAGATCCATCAAATATATATATAAAATATGCCCTAACCGGTTTGGCTCAGCGGATAGAGCATCAGCCTGCGGACTCAAGGGTCCCAGGTTCGATTCCGGTCAAGGGCATGTACCTTGGTTGCGGGCACATACCCAGTAGGGAGTGTGCAGGAGGCAGCTGATCGATGTTTCTCTCTCATCGATGTTTCTAACTCTCTATCCCTCTCCCTTCCTCTCTGTAAAAAATCAATAAAATATATTAAAAAAATATATATATATATCCCACCTTATTATATGAAGGATTCATCATTTAAAAGAATATAAAAATTGGAATTGTTATTATTATTTATGTTGTAATTATATGCTTACATTAGTTGAGCACCTACATTTATATAGACACAAGTTTTGATGCTTTACACACATGATCTCATTAAATCTCACAGTAATACTTCAAAACCAATTTTTTTTCTATTGGACAGAGGAGGTAGAGCGTGAGAGCATTTTTACCAGTCATAGAATTAGTGTAAGTTTGAGCTTGAATCTAACCCAGGTCTGTTGAATTGTAATGCCTTTGCCTGAGAAAATACATATTCAAATGGAAAGGCAAGACAATCAGAAAAATGTGAGGAAAGATCAGCAGGTTATAATAAGGTGTCATTACAGGTATGTAAGCCCATGGTAATCTGTCTGCCTGAATGACTAATGCTCCTTTGGCATGCCATTATGTTTTTCTGTAAATAACTTAAATGATATATAATACTCATTCTATTAAATATATTTTAATATATACATGCAAGGATTTTTATTATTCTTTTTGATGGTTTATATTGAATATATAAAGAACCCAACTCATAATAATTCATGTCACTAATAATTATGAGATGTGCTCAATATTGACCAATTTTTCCCTAATATTATGAAATATAATATCTGTGAAGTATATAAATTATGCTTATTAAAGATAAATTATTATTAGAGGAATAGTGAAAACCTTCAGTTTGCTCATGCTAGAGAATAACTCTGAAGATACTGTTTTTCAGATTTATACTCCAAAACACATGCTGTCTTAGCATTTCATGAAGATATGTATTTTGGGGTTTATAATGTTTAAAATCTTCTTTTTCCATCTAGTATATTTAATTCTATTATACTAGGTATTAATCAAAGATTATTTTTTAAGTAAATCTTTATTGTTGAAAGAATTACATATCTCCCTTTTTTCCCCCATTGCCTTCTCCAACCCCTGCGAGATGATGTGAGTTACTAAGAAATGTACATTGAACTAAATTGTGGTTTAATGCTAGCATATAATATATTATTTGTTTTTATTCAATTGAATTGAATTGCAAATCTTGTGTGAATTTCGGGACACCCTATATAATTGACATACACTATTTTATTAGTTTCAGGTGTACAACTAAGTTAACCTACTTTAATGTAAAAATTTCCACTCTTTATTCTATTTCCTATTACTTACTATATTTTTCTTTCCTTACAGTTCATCAACAAGCAAAAATCTTTTGTCTTATTTTAACTTACCAAATCCCCAATTTTACATTCTATAGAACCATTCATTCAAATAAAAAGAAATATATAGGGCCCTACGTTTACAATTATCCTATTTATCTTGTAAAGTTACTATATAGGATTTTTACATTTTTGTTATGTAAAATACAATAAATTAGGGCAATAAAGAAACTATTAATTTATCTGTAAAATTAATGAATAATCATTTTATATCTGTTCTTCATCCCATTGGTTATCTTCCGTCCATCTCATCTAGCCCAGTTTCTCATAGTTTAGAGGATAAAAATAGGGTATTTGATATTTCCTAAAATAATAGCTTTTACCTATTATGTATTTATGGAAATTGTACTTTATTGCAGCAGAAATATTATGAATTTAAATAAGGAGCTAAAATAATAAACAGTGAAGCAACACCCCAAATAAAAGGATGATGCCATAACTGGACATTTTAGATGTAAAATTTGTTCACATTATTAGTGTTTCTGCTTTTGTATTAAATAGTAGCTATGTGTTTAATCAGTTAACCAATAGTAGCTTGGAAATCTTCCTTCTTCTTGAACTTTTTGGAATAGTTTGAGGAGGATTGGTGTTAGTTCTTCCTGGAATGTTTGGTAAAATTCACTTGTGAAGCCATCCAGTCCAACACTTGTTTGCTGGAGTGTTTTGGTTACTGCTTCAATTTCATTAGTTGTTATCAGGTGATTACCTTTTCATATTATGAGTCTTTAAAAAATAATATCATCATTTTCACATAGTTTTTTTAAAATATATTTTATTGATTTTTTACAGTGAGGAAGGGAGAGAGATAGAGAGCTAGAAACATCAATGAGAGAGAAACATTGATCAGCTGCCTCCTGCACACCTCCTACTGGGTATGTGCCCGCAACCAAGGCACATGCCCTTGACCGGGATCGAACCTGGGACCTCTCAGTTAGCAGGACGACGCTCTATCCACTGAGCCAAACCGGTTTCGGCTTCACATAGTTTTATAGAGCAGGTATCATTTTTAATATTATCATAAAAAATATATAGCTATTTCAGAGAAGGAATGATCTAGGGCTGACCTTCTGTCTTATCTTCTTATTTTGTCCAGATGCCACAGTGCGCCTAGCATTATTCAAAAACAATGAAAGTAAAGTTTCTGCTACACAATCACCAAAGAAGCTACAACCCAGGAGACTTGGTTACTTTGAAGGTATGTTTTAATCACAGATTCATAGAAAGGTAAAAAATATATAGATTAAAATGTGTATTTAAAAAAAATTTTTAAAATCCTCAATAGTACTAAAGGACATATATGAAAAATTATATATAAGATATAACTAAATAACATTCAAAATATGGTTCCTGGAGCTAAAATATGAATTTAGTGTATTGATTAATTAGTATAGTGTTTTAGTATTTATATCAATGCTTTCATAAATTTGAATTCCTCCTATTTTTTGTGAAAGTCTTATAATGCTGTATGATTAGTTTTACTATATAATTTAAATTTTATGACAGATAATATTAGCCTATGTCAATGGAAGTAATCAAATATTGAAATGATATTCTAATATATTTAATTTACTATATTCACAAACTGTATTAAATATTTAAAATTAAAATCTGGAATTTAATGGAATTAAAATGTGTTTTCAATATAAAATAAGGCTTCACTTTTAGTAAGGGTTCATTTTCTTATTACAATCTTAACTTCACCACTCACTATTTTAAAAGAAAGAGTAGAAGTGGACATCCTTATTTTCTTGTTCCTGTTAAGGGAAACACTTAGTTTTTGCCCATTGAGTATGATGTTGGCTGTAGGTTTGTCATCTGTGGCCTTTATTATTTATGGCCACTATTCCCACTTTGATGAGTGTTTTTATCAAAAATGGGTGCTGGATTTTGTCGAATGTTTTTCCTGTGTTAATTGGTCATGTGATTTTCATCCTTCATTTAGTTTATGTGATGTATCACATTTATTGGTTTTCGAACATTCTACCAGCTTGTATCCCTGGAATTGCATCTCGTGCACTTGGTCATGGTGTATGGTCTTTTTAATGTATTGCTGAATCTGATTTGCTAATTTTTGTTGAGGATTTTAGCATCTATATTCATCAAAGATATTGGCCTGTAATTTTCTTTCTTTGTAGTGTCTTTGTCTGGTTTTGGAATTAGAATAATGCTGGCCTCCTAAAAATAGCTTGGAAATCTTCCTTCCTCTTGAGTTTTTTGGAATAGTTTGAGGCGATTGGTGTTAGTTCTACTTTGGATGTTTGGTAAAATTCACTTGTGAGGCCATCCAGTCCAAGACTTTTGTTTGCTGGGAGTTTTTTGATTACTGTTTCAATTTTATTAGTTGTTATCCCTCTATTAAGGTTTTCTGATTCTTCCTGATTGAGTTTTGGAACATTGTATGTTTTGAGGAATTTGTCCATTTCTCCCAGATTGTCCAATTTGTTGGCAAATAGTTGTTTGTAGTATTTTCTAACAATCCCTTATATTCCTGTGTGTCAGTTGTTATTTCACCTCTTTCATTTCTGATTTTACTTACATATTTGGGTCTTCTCCCTTTCTTGATGAGTCTGAATAAAGGTTTATAAATCTGGTATATCTTTTCAAATAACTAGCTCTTGGTTTCATTGATAATTCATGGTGGTTTTTTTGTTGTAGTTGTTTTTGTTTTTGTTTTTAGTTTCTATGACATTTATTTCCACTCTGATCTTTATTATTTCCTTCCTTCTATTTACTCTGGGTTTTTCTTGTTCTCTTTCTAGTTCTTTTAGTTGTAGCTTTAGATAATTTATTTGATATTTTTCTTGTTTCTTTTTTATATATTTTTTAAAAGTATGTTTTTATTGATATTTTAAAGAGAGAGGTAGGAAGAGGGAGAGAGATATATATAAACACCAATGAGAAAGAAATTGATCATCAGCCTCTGGGCACACTCCCTACTGGAGATCTTGCCCGCAACCCGGGCATGTGCCTTGATCTGGAATGGAGCCAGTGACCTCTTGGTGGATAAGACAATGCTCAGTCCACTGAACCATGCCTGCTGGGCAAGATTTTTATATCTTGAGATAGGCCTGTTATGCTATGAACTTCTTTCTCAGGATTAGTCTTTCTGTGTCCCATAGATTTTGGGTTATTGTGTGTTCATTTTCATTTGTTACAAGGTATTTTTTGATACTGATGAACAAAATAGGTCTAGCAGGGGTGGGCAAACTTTTTGACTCTAGGGCCACAATGGGTTCTTAAACTGGACCGGAGGGCCGGAACAAAAGCATGGATGGAGTGTTTGTGTGAACTAATATAAATTCAAAGTAAACATCATTACATAAAAGGGTACGGTCTTTTTTTTTTTTAGTTTTATTCATTTCAAACAGGCTGGATCCGGCCCGCGGGCCGTAGTTTGCCCACGGCTGGTCTAGAGGCATAGGTGCATGGAACAGACTGACAGGTCCGGAAAGGAGGAGAGTAGGAGGAAGATGGGAAGAGATTAACCAGGGAACTTACATGCAGATATGCATAACCCATGGACACAGATAATAGTGTGGAGAGGCCTAGGTGGAGGGGGACAAAGGTGGGGGAGAAATGGGGACATCTGTAATACTGTCAACAATAAGACTAAATAAATAAAGCCCCCCCCCCAAAAAAATGATACAATAGAAGAAAGAGTGGAAATTCTGCTAAAATTAATACCAACTCGACAGATATTACCTGTTAAATAGGAGCATTGTTACTTTAAAAAGGAAATGCCTGGGGAAAAGGATAACTGGGCATTTTTCCCCTTTAAATTAGCACATACTTAGAAATCAGAAAAGAAATCTATCCTAACATGTTTTTTGGTATTTTTTCTTTTCCTATGAAATGTGAAGCTAAGTAACTATCAAAAATAGTTTATATGTGCATATGGAATACTTATTAATTTCTGTGCTAATATAAAATACTAGAGGCCCAGTGCACAAAATTTGTGCATGGGTGGGGTCCCTAGCAGCTGCCGGCTGCCAGCTGCCAACAGGGGCCTTTCTTCTTTCCGTGCCACCCCCTGGTGGTCAGTGCATGTCATAGAGAGCGATCAAACTTCCGGTTGGTTGAACTTCCAAGGGGACACTTTGCATATTAGGCTTTTATATATTTAGATACTAAGAATAGTTCAAATAGTGGTAGAGATAAAGAGGACTATCGAACATAAAACATTTCCACATATGCTCTATGATACAATGTGTATTTTTGTTTTCATTTCCAAATGAAATGTGTTTAGGTTTTTTTTTCTACCTTAACCCCTGGTGTGCCGGGGAGCGCGATTGCACTCCTCCTGTTTTTCGCCAAAAGTGCCGGGAGCGCTATCTCGCTCCTCCTGCAGTGTCCAGTTCTAAGTCTGCTTTTATTAGTGATGATGATATTGCTAAATATGTCAATTCTTGCTGTGAAGATGACGATTTTGTGGAAGATATTGAATATGTAACTTCATTTACTTGCAATTCATAATTTTTTTCCTAAACTGCTATAAAATCAGCAAAAATGCCTTGGCAATTTTAGCATAGTTCCTAGGATATTGGTTGGCACTCAAAGGGTTAAGTACATTTGGCATTTCATTAATTTCACTGAATGACAGTTATATATGTGCCAGATATTCTAGTGACCACTAGTTACATTAAGACATTTTTTTAAAGGAATGGGCTTGGCAAAAATTGTTGGATATAGCAAAACTTTTTCCCCCCTCAGTAATATGTTTATTTCTGCTCCCTTTTCAAGGGGAAATAGTGAGGCAAATATAATTTGATCATTGCTGGCCAGGTTGAATCCCATGTTGTCTTTCCGCTACTCTGGCTTCACCCACCTTCCTGACTCACTTTTATTTTTAGCCAGTCAACTTATATGTTAGCATCCTGACTGAAACCGGCCTCCCTGTAGGGACACATTTTTAAACCAGGTCTATTGAGATAAAATTTGCATAGTATAAAATTTACCCATTATGAGTAGAATTCAATAAGTATTGATATATTTAGTTACGTCACCATTATCACAATCTAATTTTATAATATTGGAAGCCTTTTAATTTTCTTAAAAAGTTTAAATAGAATTAATAATTGGGCATCTTACCTTCCTTAAATGAGGGAGACCAGAATTAAATTTTGCTGGAGGGTTAGATTGAATGACTCTATATGGAAAACCATCTCAGCACAATGGCATGCCACATGGTCATATAACTTATTTGGTGTTGTTGAAATTAGATTATAGTATTTGACTATTTCTTCCTATAATGCTCATTTCTTTTATAATAATGTCTGATATTTTTAGCTATATTTAAAAATCCATTTTTTAAACTTTGTAATATTGTCAAGTGGGGTTTTCATAATTCCTCTTATAAGTTGTACTAAATATTTTTATTATTACTGTTGACTTTTTCTGGATATCACTAAAAGGACAGACAGGATGGTGGATATACTCTATTAGTCTAGGGTAAAATATATGCTTAAGTTTGAGACATTTTAATATGAAATATTGAATATAAAATACTAAATTACATTAAATTTTATAAAGTAGATAATCATACCCTCCTAACAGGCTTTATCTTACAGAATATCCTTTTATTTTATCATATTCATACCATGTTGAAAATTTTTGTCTAGGTGCTAGATTTAGACCTTCCTTTAACCCAATCAAGGCTGAGGAACCTTTGACCATACCTGTTCCCTGGATAACCTCATATACAGGCAGTGTGTCAGATATCAATCAGTTCTATGATACTTGATTAAAAGCCTGAGGACTTTACAGAGTCAACATTTGTTTACTTGATCTATTTGCTTATTTATAGTTTTTAATGTCAGGTACCTGTCTCAGTTTGTCCTTTATCACCCATAATTTCTACTTTGGTTTCAATATCTGATTTTTGCCTTGGAATTTGATTCTTGATTTATCATTGTCTTGTTCCTTACCTTGAACATCTCCCACCAACCTTCCTTTGTTTTTTGTGTGGGGGGGGTGTTGAATGTTTAATTTAGAGCCCTGACATACTCTTCTGTAGCTATCACTTGTATGGAGGACACATAGCTTCATTGATGTAAGTGTATACTCTAAAGTTAGTCTTAGCACAGTTTGAATCTTGATTCCACCATTTATTGACTTTGCACACTTGGGGACATTATTTAACATCTATTAGCATTATTTTTCACCTGTAAAACTGGATGCTAATAATACTTAGTTGTTGGGGATTACATGAGATCCTACTTGTGAAA